TATTTCTTCAAAACTAGAAAAAATATTAATAATCAGAATATTAATGAAAATACATTTTTGAAACGTCAATATTTTCAGAAAAATAAACTCAACGAAATGACTATCTTTATTTTTTTTTTGGAAATGATTAAATAAAACAATACATTTTTTTCATTTTTTAACAAAATATAAAAAAACTTTTTAACTTTTATTTTTAATACATACAATCTATAAATAAATTTTACAATAAGCATGTTCGAGGATTCACCCAGCGGCAACACTTGCGGGCTAGAGAGTTAGAGTTATTTCAGGTCACGGTTCCAATTTCACTTTAACCTTCTAGGTGGAYTTCCAGGAATGGATTCAGAGTTTAGAGCAAGGATTAGAGAGTTAGAGGTTAGAGTGGTTTATAAGACAGGCACGGAAAAGTTTATTAGGATTTTAAAGGAATTAAAACATTAAAATGAATTTAAAAATGAAGTAATTGTAGTTCATATCCTTATGTGTCTAATTACAAAATTAAAATCTTGATATCTCCATTATTTCCTGAGATATTGCAATAGGTAAATCCTCACGAGACACCATGTATTTCAAATATTCTAAAAATGCTTAAAATTTAATGAACTGAAAGAGTAACAAATAAAACAGTATTGACTAGAGTAAATTAAAAACGTGAATTATAAAATGGTATTAAGACTATATAAGATAAAATCATAGGACACTACTACTCCATGAGAGTCAAATGAAGAATGTTATGGGAGGCAATGTAGAAGATTATGTTGGAAGAAGAAGACCAAGGATGGAATATTGGAATACATGAAACAAATCACAATCGACATAGGAAAGGTWAGCTACAAAGAAAGGAAAGAAYTATAATTTGTTATGTCATTAGAATGTTACATGTATTCATGTAGATAAATAAATGAATCATGGGAATTATAGAAATATTTAATTTTTAAATTATTTTTATTTAGAAATATATGAATGTATATCCATAAAATTATTAAATACATTTTTGTAATTTTCTCCATGTAAAAATATTTTTATTAAATTACATTACATTATTATTATTATATTATCTACTTATGAATTTCCAGTTAAAATACCTCTGGCAACTTTGTTGAAATTCCTGCAAAAAATATTTAAAATTATTTATTTTGTTTTACATATTTTAAATAAA